TGATGTTTGTCAATAACTGAGTGGGAGGCAGTGCAGTGAGCAAACTAGCCCATGCCCCCTCACTGGGTTACCAACCTGGGGGGTGCTGGGGGGCTGGGGGAGGGTAGATAGACAAATGAAGAGCCAGAGGAAAGGACAGAGCCTAGGGTGGGAGGACCAGCCTGGACTCACCATCCACTGAGGACGCACTGGAAGGCTTCCCAGGGAAAGAGGGCTCAGGCTGAGATCTAGCTGGGAGCCTGCCATGCTCGACCTGGCACTCTTACCTCTCAATTCCGTTTACCCCGTCACTGTCCAATTCTTAAAAACTGTAGTTTGGGATTTTTTTGTTTTTGTTTTTGCAATATTTTTCCTGGCTGGCATTTGTCTAGACCACTCACATGCCACGCCGGGCTGCTCGGTGTCCTCTGGTTTTCCGACTGGGGTCTTTGGTTTTACCAGTTGGGCTGTCGCCTTTCAGGAAGCTGAGGGTGGGCAGTGCTGTGGGCGGCTGCTCAGGTGGTCCCGTGTCCCTTGTCCTCCGGCCCCTGAGCCCAGGCTGCACTCCACGCAGCCTGTATCCACTCGGTAGCAGGTAATCCAACTTTGGGAAACAAATATGACGTTCAGTTTTTGTTGCCATTTTCATTACAGTCAGAATATGAGTAATAACTTTTAAAACAGAACTTGGTAAAGTTGGACTAGAAGGATAATTAAGATGTAGATTTCTTTATATTTTAAATTTTTTCGTTGCATACTATTTAATATTTTGGGAGATCATTCCTTATTGCCAAGAAATACCATTACATCCCCTGTAATACTCTGGGAGCTCACCTTGTCTGATCACCCACCTGAGCAACGGCCTTGCTGGGCAGCACCCAGGCAGTGGACGGAAGGGGCAGAGAAACCAGTGCATGGAAAGGCAAGTGCTGCTTTGATGGTGTTTTGTCTTTAAGTCAGACTCAAGATTATATTTTTAGGGACGCCTGGGTGGCTCACTGGTTGAGTTTCTGCCTTTGGCTCAGGTTGTGATCCTGGGGTCCTGGGATGGAATTCTGCATCAAGATTCTGGCAAGGGGCCTGCTTCTCCCTCTGCCTGTGTCTCTGCCTCTCTCTCTCTCTCTCTCTCTGTGTGTGTGTGTGTGTGTGTGTGTGTGTCTCATGAATAAAGAAATAAAAATATTTTTTAAAAAAGATTATATTTTTATCTCCCTAAAGTGGAAATTTACCTCTCTGTTCTCTGGTCACCATATCGAGACCCAGAAGGGCAATGCAGTTTGGTACAAATGGCATGCTACTTCATCCCTCATTCTAGATGGCAGCCACTGCTTACAGGCAGCCCTCCTACATGCATGAGAGCTTCCACCGGAGAGTCTGCTGACACGCGGCAAGGAGGCTCCCCCGTGCTGGCCCCTTGCCCACGGCCCCTCTGGACCTGAGACAGAGCCTCACTGTGTGTCTTCAGCCCCCGACGGCACTGGCCAGATCTCCGGCTCTGCCCTCCGAGGCCACATCAGCAGAGCAGTCTCTCTTCTCCAGCAGTCTGCTCAGGGTAGCACCAAGCAGAGAAAAGCAAACAGAGAAGCAAGCTGTCAAGCTCAGCACTCCTTGAACACACAGTGCTGTTGTTAGAATGCCCTCAAGATTTTTTCTTGCCGGGAGCCCTTGGCTCATATTCATCTTGAACGGAGCAGTGGTGAGCGGTGGGTGAAGGAAGCATTCCGGGTCCCATGCAGTATGCACCTGTGTGAGGACGAATTACATGAATTATATGGATTTTCTGTATGAAATCCACCCATTGTCATAGCCCATGAAATTGCTTTGAGTCAAAATCCTGTGACTCCTACAGAGAATTAAAAAGAAAGTCTGGCATAAAATGGGCCTTGCTCTGGGAAGTTTGGGACCAAAGGAGTGTGGAGGGCTGACCGGATGGCTCCTGGTGTCTGCTTCCTTCGGTGTTTGCTAGGCCGTGTGCCGTTGGGGACATGAGAGCCTCAGAGCCCCTGAGCCTGTTTTCGGATATGGGACGAGAACATGGAATCAACCAGAGGGGCATCAGGAGGATGTAGTGACGCAGGCCCTCAGGGACACCTGCACAGGGGGGCCCTCACTGCTGCCCCCTCCCTCTCGGGGCTGACACAAGATGAACCTGCATCACTGCCATCCCCTCCCTCCCTGGCCTGCATCCCCTGCAGCCCTGTGACTCTGGGGACAGTGGTGGGGAGTTCCCTGGAGGCTGAGGACCTTTGGGTTCCCCTGGGCGCTGCCCCAGGTCAAATGACAGACCCGCAGTGACCACATCACGCTGTGGTGATGACCGCAGACCCCACTAGTTCCCACGACAGCTCAGTGAGGACATGGAGGGATGATGGTTGTTGCCATGTTATGTTTGAGGATACAGACTCTAGAGCCAACGAAAGAAGTGCTCAATGTCACGGCTACTCATGACCTCAGGGGACTCCCTTCCTTCCTTCCTTCCTTCCTTCCTTCCTTCCTTCCTTCCTTCCTTCCTTCCCTCCCCATTGCTCCTCGTGGTAAGGCCAGGTGACCCAGGGTCCAGAGTGAGCCACCCTGGGCTAGCCTACAGCAAGGCCCTGGGGTCACTGAGCAGGTCAGGATGGGTGGGGGAGTTCGCCAGCAGACCCAGGGGATCAAGAGCGGCCACCCCCACACGGGTGCCCTTTCACGCTGGGATGAGGCAGGTGCCTAAAAGCCCGGCCTGCCATTTGTCTCTGTACACACGATACAGCAAACAGCAAGGTAGAAACAAACACAGCCTTTTATCAGCTCCTGGGGAACAGCTGCCTGACAAATTGCTTTCCTTGGAAAAGTACTCGGGCCCACGGGAGGACACACAATAATTACAAGACGCGGTGCCTGCCTTTGAGGCCTAATTGCCGAAACTCCTAAAGAATGTAACCTGTGGATGGGCAAGTCCAGCCCCAGCTGAGGCAGGAGCTAGTGAAAGAAGTAGATAAATCCTGGAATGCCTCCTGGAGGAGGTGATGGGTCAGCTACCAAGAAGGATGAGGTAAAGGGAGTGGGTGGAGCCCAGTCTCAGAGGAGGGACGTCCCTGTCATCTAAACGAGAGTGGGGAAAGGAAGCCAGCAGATATGTTAGCCAGACAGTGGACAGATGCCTTCTGTGTGCGCAGATGCCCTCGGAAGGCACGTGTTCTGATACATTCTGATACGTTGTGCCGAATCTGGTCCTGGGCCAAGCCGGGTGAAGCATCTTCCTGTTGGCATCTCTGAAGGTGCTGGATGGAGCAGGCCAGGCTCCTGCCACATCTCCGCAGCTCCTCCCTGCCTGGTGCCCGAGGCCTACCGACCGACCAACCGATGGTGGGGTCCTGGTGCACCCCCTGCCTGGGACCTGGGGGCTCACGCGCCCTCCAGGGTGTTTACAGGTGCCTTTGGTCAAGACTCAGGGAGGATATTTGGCCCACCCCGCACCCTCCATTTGGCTGCAGGGCTGAAGCCCTGAGGCGCTCAGAGGTGCACACTCACCATCCAGGCCTCTGTCCAAGTATCCGTGCAAAACCCGGCACAGTGTCAAACTTTGCTCCAAGCTTGGCAGCAAATGTGACGACTTTGTGAAGACATGGGGTTTTTTCCAAGCGGGTTTTCCTTAGTCACTGCGTTGGAATCCCAAGCCTTCACCGAGACTGCACACACACACACACACACACACAGACATGCGCGCACGCACACACGAGATAAGGGTATGTAATGCAGACTAAATGCAGAAAAACAAAACAAACATGATTTTGGAAAACTTGGTCTTCCACCTCCTTAAACTTAAAATTTCGCAGATTTCTTAGCTACAAAATGAATCGGAGGTCTCCTAAGCGAGTAAGTTACATGCTCTAAAGAGCCCCAAGCACTGAGGGGGACACTTGACGGGATGAGCACTGGGTGTTATTCTGTATGTTGGTAAATTGAACACCAATAAAAATTAATTTATTAAAAAAATAATAAAAAATAAAGAGCCCCAAGGAACTCGGGGACCTCAGCTTCACTAATGTTTTGGACGTGACCCCTGGCTTGGCCACATCCAGCCACAGGAGGCGAGAGCCAGCCCAGAGAAGAGGCGCTGACCACTGTGTGCCCGCCCAGTCCTATTGCATTTCCCCTATTACTTGCATCGATTTAATCCAAACAAAGAGATCATTTTGAAGACGTTCAGCCAATTTTTGGCGGGAGGGACAGCCAGCGCGGGGAAGCCACCGGAGCTCACGTAGCTGCCACAGGCGGGATCAGAAGCTGACTCGGGAATCTTCAGGATGAGAGCCTCATTTGCATTTCCGAAGCCAGACCACACTTTTGCTATAGATTGCCATTTCCCCGACTGTTAGAGCTGATTAAAGGAGCACAGAAAATTACTTACGCCCCTAAATTGCTACAACAAAGGCTGGGTTTCTCTCTTCAATCAAAACAGCACGGCTGGCTGATTCAAATGCTAATAGCCGGGCCTGAATTGGCCACTAAAAGGGAGACACTCTTCCCTGTAAATGACCAGAAAGTCACTCCTCTGCAGCAAGAATCTGCGGGACTCTTCCAGTTGGACGTTCCGTGCTAGCGGCCCAGGGGCAGCACCGCTGTGGTGGCCTGGGTGCAGCCACCCGCTCTGTGCGCCGAGAGAAGAGCCTCTGAGTCAGAGAACTGCTCCGGGCCGTGCCCCCCATCCCTGTTATGAACCCCCCACCCCCCGGACATCCGCACGCAGTTGGCAAGGCCCCCAGGTGGAGAGGTGGCCGCCCCCATCTTCATCCCTCCTGATTGCATCGTTTCCTTGGGCTCTAGAGAGAGGAAGCAGCTTCTCCTTCTCCTTCTCCACTCCCTGCAGCCCGTGTCCTCAGTCCTCTCACCTTGGCCCGGGGAGCTGGAGACAGCAAGACAGATTTGGGCCTGAAGATCCAAGTTCACGTCCTACCTCTCAGGGTGTGACCTTGGGCCAGATGCCAGGCCCTGTGTGTCTGTGTACACGGTGTACCTGTTCAGTCCAGGGGAGTAGGGGGATGGCGGCCTCCCTCCTCATGCAGGTGAGGAAAAATGCCTACGAGGCTCCCCAGGGGACCTAGGGGACCATGGTACCTGTGCCACCAAGCAGACCCTGACCTGTGAGCATGAGCACTGTTCTCTGTGACAGCACCCACGCCGTAGCAGTAGGCCAGGTGCAGGGTGCAGGGCCCTGGCACCGGGCCTGGGAAAGCCCTCGGGGTTGGGACACAGAGCCTCCGGAGGTGACGAATCGGGACAGATGATGTAGAGGTTTTAAAGACTTCCTCTCTCCCTGCTCTCTCGTTTGCCATTATTACAGTATTTTTTTAGACATTTGGTTTCATGTTTGCCTTGTCTACCAGTCATGCAATTGTGCACGTTTTTGACTTTGCACCTGTCTGGTACCCAGCGGGGGGGACACAGCTCACCAGGTGACACACTCGTGTTCCCTTGGCACGCAGGTGAGGGTTAGTTCCATTCTGCAAGTGTCCCGTGTGCTTCGTAGGAGCAACACTGATTTTAAGTGGGTGTAAGTAAGATGTTTTCACAGTTTCCAGGCCCCAGGGGGCATTATTACATAATCTTCAAAGATAATAATGATCGATTTCCTCCAGGGCTACTTCCTACAGCCTCTGAGGCTCTCAAACCACAGGAGTTAGTTTGGTTTACTGTTTAGATCTACACTATGCCAGTTTCTTTCTTCCTGATTAGTCTTTATGACACTTTTACTGGGAAATAGTCTGCTACCACGCTGTAGAGTGACGGTTCTTTTGTGCACCTGTGAAAAGGCTGTGGACACAAGTGTGAAAAGACATATTTAAAACAGGCATCCCGGGTAGCCCTGGTGGCGCAGCGGTTTAGTGCCGCCTGCAGCCCGGGGTGTGATCCTGGAGACCCGGGATCGAGTCCCACATCAGGCTTCTTGCACGGAGCCTGCTTCTCCCTCTGCCTGCGTCTCTGCCTCTCTCTCGCTCTCTCTGAATGAATAAATAAATAAATAAATCTTTAAAAAAAAAACATTTTTAAAACAGGCATCCCCAGGGGTGCCTGGGTGGCTCAGTGGTTGAGCATCTGCCTTCAGCTCATGCTATGATCCCAGGGTCTTGGGGTGGAGCCCTGAGCCTGGTTCCCCGCTCAGCAGGGAGCCTGCTTCTCCCTCTCCCTCTGCCCCTTACCCCCTACTACCTGCTTGTGTTCCCTGTCACTCACTCCCTCCCTCACTAATAAATAAATAAAATCTTTAAAAAACATAGGAATTCTCATATGTTTTGGAAAGGAGTTCACCTCCTGGAGAAGTCCATGTTGGCAAGGGAACAAGTGGCAAAGGTATCCTTTACTTCGGGAATCCTTTTCATCTGACTTACACATAGTCTTGTTCTGAAAGAAATGTTTTACTTGTATTTTATGTTCATGTCCTACTTCCCAAGCTAGAAAGTAAGACTGTATCTTTACATCTTTAGTGCACAGATGAATCTATTACACACAGTAGCGGAAGAAGAGCAAATCTAGCACTTATTCTTCCTTGCGTACAATTATTACAACTTTCAGATGCATGTCAAAAATATCCAAGGCATGCTGTAAATACTTAGATTCCCCAGCCTTGGTCTTCCGGGATAAATTAGTTGACGGGAGACCGCAAATGTCTCTGAAAAGCAGTAAGTACCTGACAGAGAGCTAGATTCCCCGGGCTCAGACTGGTCAAAACAACAAATCGATAGTATTAAATGTAGCATAATTAAAGGTGTTACCGAGTATAGTCTTTGAGGTCATATTTTAAAAGTCCGAACACAGGCACATAAATGACACCACTCTAAATTTAGAAAATGAGGAGAAATTAATTTTTTATAAGACTAGAAGTAGCCGGAAAGTTAAAGTCGAACCCAACTGAATTCCAAAGGAAAAGAATATTAGGTTTGAAATCATTTCAAAGAAATGGAAACACACACACACAAAAAAACAAGAAACATGTAGGAATCGTGAGGCTGGGTGTGAAAGGATGAATAACCAGGCATTTTCAAGCCCCTGGGCTCTTTGGTGAGGAGATGAGTACACAGAAACCAGAACACATCCTCAGTGAGCGCTCCAAAGGAGAAGTGCTCTCTATGATCACGAGCCACCCTTGAACTTCACGTGGGCCCAACAGAACCAAGCACCTACAGTCCCAGCAGGCTGATCAGTTCAGGATCTCCCTGACTGGTCTAAAGACTGGAATTGCAGGAATTACCTGAGCAGTTTGGAAACAGTACAGATCCCTGGACCCCAACACAGACTAACTAAATCTGAGTCTTGGGGGAAAGGCCTGGAATGGCAAGTTTTTGCAGAGTGCCCCTGGTGACCACTACAACTTGGCACATTTGGGGAGCACTCACGTACAGCCGAGGTCGGCTCAGGAAGAGAAACTGGTAGAAGGAGGCTGGTCTTCTTGGACAGCCCCAAACATACACAAACAGCCACCACTATAGTCTTCACTTCAAGAATCAGATGTAAAGCTAGACAATATTAGTAACAGGGCAAGATATGTTTTATAGCTGGGCTTTGTTAGTATTCTCACGATAAAGAAAGCATTTGTTGGAATCCTTTCCTTTTTTTTCTACTCCGCTATCATATTCTTCTAGATTCCATGGTGAATCTCCCCTCCCCACCAACCTTGGGGCCTTCTCTCAGGTAAGACAGCCCGACTCAACCTGGGAGCCAGGCAGAGAGGCAGGGAGGCAGGGGAGGCACCCGGGAGGCCCAGGGTTACCTTGTCCCTATCTCGGGCGTCTTCCTGCTCCCACTTTCTCCTCCTTTCCATGAGCCCAGGAAGAAGGCCCTGCGAGGAAAATGCAAGATGGGCTTTTACAAACAGCCCTCGGTGCTGCAGTTTATTGATACCGTCAGCTGCACTGTGTCCGTCCATTTCCACCACAACTTGAAAAGTGGGAAACCTGACTCATTGTTTGCACCCAGACTGGGGAAGGGTCCCCACTGTGATTTCAAGCTGAGATCCCAAACGCAGCACGATGTTGCCCACACCCAAATCTCATCCCTGACATCAGGGTGCATACATGTGGCACCCAGCCATTTAGGATCTCTGGTTTGAGGGTGCCTGCACCTGGTTTTGCATAGGGACATGCTGTGCCTTCCATATGACACCAGCTGATGCGTATGTATCTCACTCTCTGGTTAAGTATAAACAGAATGTATCAGATATACAACAACATGGAGCATTTCTTCCATGCTTATTTCTGTTCCTCTTCCATGCTTATTTCTGTTCCTCTCCTTGCTGGTTTACAGGCTTCGGGAATTCAGATTTGTCTATATATTTTTTTCTCTTGATGTATCTCTACAGAGGAAAATTAGGCAAAATCTGTGTGGTGGGTCCTGTTCTCTCACTGACTTCTGCTGGGCTTGTAGGCAACCGCACAGGGGCTGGGGGCGTGTGGCTCTGGAGTTCGGTCTTTCCGGGTTGACATCAGCTCTGGCCCTTCTGTCCTGTTACCTAACTCAGGACCCCATTTGTCTCATCGACCTGATAAAGGCCATGGCACCTAACCAAACTGCAAGGAATATATAGGACCCCTGCACATGGTTACATTTAATCACACTGGCTGATAAGGATAATCAGCCATTTCAGACTTTGAGCACCCATGGGCCCCTTTTCCAGAAAGCTGACAGTCTGATCTGGCCCCGTCTTGCCTCCAGGACCCCTCCTCTAGTTCCCCGTGACCACACACCACCCTGGCCCATTTCTTTTCTCTGCACACACCAGGCTTGGCCCATGTAGGGTCTCTGCTGCTCCCCGGCCTGGCACTCTTCCATCTGATGCTGCCATAGTGGCTTCTCTGGGTCACTTTCTCTTCACCTTAGTGTCATCTCTGCAGATCTGAGCCACCCAGTGAGAGTGGGTAAGAAAAATGGGGTAGAAAGCTTGCCACAGAATACTGTACAGCCACTAGAAGCATGAGATTAGATACAGACATTGTTCGAACAAAATGACTCCAAAGGAGTCACTTATGCTAAGCTCCAAACTGAGACTTACATAGTGTTTGGGCTTTCCCAGAAATGCAGTCTTAAACCAGTCAATCAGGAATCACCTGACCAGCACTGTGGGGTACTCTGCCTCATAGACCCCCGCTCTCCCCGAAGGAAAGTGCAGTTTTGGCCTCATATCCATTTCTTGTCCCCCCTCCCTTCTGCCTATAAGTCTTCCATTTTGTATAGTTCTTCAGAGCTCCTCTTTATGTGCTAGATGGGATGCTGCCCAATTCATGAATCATTGAATAAAGCCAATAAGACCTTTAAAATTTACTTGGTTGAATTTTGCTTTTTTAGCAACACAGAAAGATGGATGACTGAGTCAAAAATATCCACATAGAGGAGATGCAGAAGCATGTGCCCAGGCACACACCTGCAAACACCTCCAAAGGGCCACTGGGGGTGGGGCAAGGCTGGGTGTGGGAGGAAAGGGGGCTGCATACACATACACCAAGCAAGAGAGCGAAAATGCAGCCTCCCATATATCAACAATCACTCCATCTACCTACATTCTCCAAATAGTAGACATCACTACCAAATACTTAGAACACGACAGGATCTTTATCCAAACATGAAGAATTTTCTGTGCTTTTAGTACTAACTATACCAGAACATACTTATTATTACTTAGGATATTATAGTAAAGACTAGCTCTGAGTAAAATGGGAAGTCAATCTCATGGCCTGTACTTAGGTAAATTAAAGGTGCATTGATCTATTACATAAAAAAGCAGTCCAACATTTCAAATTCTCTTTGGGTCATTACCATAAAAAGAAAGAATAAAATTGAACTTTGAACAAATTTCAGAATTGAAATATCTCAGAAATATCATTTCAATATGCAAAGGAGAGATCCACTTTTAGTTATAAGTAAGAAGAAATTTGGCAAGAGAACATAAAATGCATCTAAGATGAAGTCTTCAGTACAATCAACAAGTGTTCCAAAACTGAAATGAAGAATGCTTTTTGGGGCTTCAAAAAAGACAGAAAGATACATGGGATCAATGAGATTTTTAAACTCTTTTACTGAGAATAATAAGCATAGTTCATTCACACAATCATGACAGAGGGATGAATGCATGTTTCAAATACAAAAATAGTGGGGGAATTTCCAAGTTAAAGATTGCCCACTGCACCAGTGTACCTGTGGGTTGGGCTAGGAAAAGCTTGCCAGGGGCTCATTTATAATGACAATCAAGGAAGCTTTGGGAAGAAAACAGAGTAAGACAAATAAAACAGGAATAAACATAAACAAGGTCATTCTGACAAATCCCCACCCCTCTCATTACTGGGCATCTGCACACCCATCTTCCTGGTGACCAGCACAAAGTCATTGCCAAGCCCAGCAAGTGGCAGGGGCTCTCCCATGGTGGCCGATAGTGCTAGCTAAGGACCCCACACCCTTTACCCATTTCTTTCTGTACAAACAGGGTCGTGGTGGGTCTATGGGGTGGGTGTGAGATTCCTGCTGAAGAAACTCCATTTACCAGCCCCACTGTGAGATCTAGTGGTGATGTGACCAAGTTCTAGATAGCAATGTGTAAGTGAACTTTGGGGTGAAGGATCCAAAAAGCTCCACTCATGTCAGTGGGAAGCAGGATCACAGCCCACAGCATCTGGGGCTCTGTTTGCTTCAAGAGCAAAACTTCTTTGACTTCACATGTTTTACCAAAAATTTTGCAAATTTTGCTTTTACCTTTGATTTAACATGTTTAATTCAATCTCAGAATAATGTATTTTTCATCCATGTTTTCAGGTGCAACTGAGGCCCTGGAAATGCACATTTTCTCTTATGGGGGTTCCCTGTTCCCTCAGCAAGGCGGGAGCTAGTGAGAAAGCAGATCACTCTCTGCAGGGAAGGAGATTTTTCCTCCTCTGCCCTCTGTGGTGCTCTGCTGGACGCCCACCTTTCAAACCAAAGCCTTCAGTTGCTGGAAAGCTAGTATGTGATGGCCTCAGGTCAGTTTTGAAATTATGGTGAAGATTTTACATATTTTCATGTTTTATGTGTTTAGATTTTTTTAAAAATTTGAAATAGTGCTTTACAAGTCATAAGGCTGACTGTGTGCCTCAAACAATTCAAGTCAGCTAAGGAATCACTCTTTCCTATTCTCGTCTAATAGATTTACACCTGCAGAAAAGGCCTTCAAATATTTTATCTCCTCATTTTATTCTAGAAGTATTTGTTTCTCAGAGTTGGTTAACGTTCTCAAATACTCTAGTCTAGCTCTTTGTTCACTTATGATCACTTTCACTCATGTTTTCATTTTCTCAACTTGTTTGGAACTTTTGGCTGCCCTGAAGGGTCTGCTAAATCCATTACCTCCATTCCCAAACACTTGTCCTGCTCTCAAGTGTTTTACTCGACTACCTGCTATAATCAGAGTACCATCCCATAGGCCTGATTTGTTCCAGCCTAGTTGATTTACTTCCAATCTTCAGGCGCAGAAAGCCTATTTGCCTCCAGTTTCTGTCTCAAACTATGTGTTTATAAGTTGTTACAAGCTCATTGATGGCTTATGATGAGCATACTTTTCCCACAGCTTCTTCCATCTTAAAACAATATCACTGGCTCTTCTAGGAGAATCAGTAAAAACACCAAATTCTGTGAAGCTGCTTTCTGTACTTGGAAACACATCCTGAGTATTGCTTAGACCAAGTTAGCACTGTAATTTCGTTTTCCATCTGTCTTTACGAGTAACAGTATATACTGAAGAAAAATAGGACTCATCCTATTTTTACCATCTTGGAATATATAATACCCCCAGGTTAAGTTGGGGGGTTGTCTTCTTAAAAAAATAAACTCTAAAATTTTTTAAACTTTATTTTGAAAATATAATTACAGGAATAGTATAATGAGCTCTTGTGTGTCCTTCAACTACATGTATCCATTGTGAACATTTTTTTCATCTTGTGTGTCACAGAAAAATGCATGTTTTTGCTCTCCTTTTCTCTTTCTTTACATACATGTTTTCATATGTATATATGTACATACAATTATACTATTATTACTATCACTTCATCATCTGTGAGAAAGTTACAGACACAATGGCCTTTTACTTCTAAATATTTCATCATATATTTCCCAATAAAAAGGTGATGCTCTGGGGTACCTCGGTGGCTCAGTCTGTTAAGCATCTGTCTTTAGTTCAGGTCATGATCTCAGGATCCTGGGATTGAGTCCTGCACTGGGCTCCCTGCTCAGTGGGGAATCTGCTTCTTCCTCTCCCTCTGCCACTCCCTCTACTAGTGCGCTCTCTCTCTCTCTTTGTCAAATAAATTAATTAATAAATCTTTTTTAAAAAAAGAAGTTATGTTCTTATATCACCTTAGCAAAATGATCAAATTCAGGAACTGAATTTTGCTATAATGCTTAATCTCTAATTTACAAACTAAATTCAGATTTTACAATGGCTCCAATACACCGGTGAAATTATGTTTTAAGGTTATATTGAGATTCAGTCAACTAAGATACAGGGATGTTAACTTTGAGAGTGAATCTATATCATAAAGATTATGAAGGCCTATTTCTAGGGATGAGAAACAGACTCCATCAAGAAGAATTATTTAAGTATTCAGACGATTATTGGGATGATCACCTCAACTACCCACGGCAAAAAAAAAAAAAAAAAACAAAAAAAAAACAGAGATTCTCCTAGCCCCTGTGCAAGGATGGTAGGTGAATTCTCTAGGTGTTCAATACTGTTTTCAAAAAGGGAAAAAATCGGGGCACCTGGGTGGCTCAGTGGTTGAGTGTCTGCCTTTGGCTCAGGTCCTGATCCTGGGGTCCTGGGATCGAGTCCCACATCAAGCTACCCGCATGGAGCCTGCTTCTCCCTCTGCCTATGTCTCTACCTCTCTCTCTGTGTCTCTCATGAATAATTAATTAATTAATTTTAAAAAAGAAAGAGAAAAAATAGTTGAGAGTGTTATGAACCAAAATGTGATTCCCCTCAAATTCACATGTTGAAGTCCTAACCTTCAATGTGACATATTTGGGGGTCAACTCTTTTAAAAAGTAATTAAGGTTAAATGAAGTTATAAGGGTGGGGCCCTAATCCAATAGGACTGGTGTCCTTATAAGGAGAGGAAGGGACACCAGGGAGGTGGCCTCCCACAGAGGACAGGCCCTGTGAGGACACTGGTTGGGGGGATGGGCGTGGGACACGCAGGCAAAGGCAGCAGTCTGCAGGCCAGGAGGAGAGCCTCACCGGGAACTCGCGGGGGGGCGCGGGGGTGGGGGGGATCCTTGATGTCCGACTTGCAGCCTCCAGAGCTGTGAGAGATACATCCCTGTGGTTTAATCTCCCAGCCTGTGGTGTTTTGCTCCAGCAGGCTGAGCTGACGACTAATACACTGGGAAAAACTTAGGAGTGAAATTAATACCTATTTCATTTGATGTACCTGTACCATTCTCATGAGTCTCTCAAATCAGATTTAATTATAATGAAAATTATAATGCCCACTTGACGCAGTGCTCAGGGTGTGCCGAGGTAATATAATTTTTTTTTTTAAAGAGGAAAGGGGGCAGCCCAGGTGGCTCAGTGGTTTAGCGCCACCTTCAGCCCAGGGTGTGATCCTGGAGACCCGGGATAGAGTCCCAAGTCGGGCTCCCTGCATGGAGCCTGCTTCTCCCTCTGCCTCTGTCTCTGCCTCTCTCTATCTCTCTGTGTCTCTCATGAATAAATAAAAAAAATAAAATATTATAAAATAAAATAAAAGAAGAAAGGGTAAATGGACCTAAATGGGAAGTAAACATTCAAAGAGTCACTCAAGCAGTAAGACTGACACGAGTAGTTGGTGGCAAGTCACTTCTATACTGTAATATCTAGAACAACCATACAGAAAACAATACAAAATGAGCAAAAACATTGTGAGTACATCAAAATTCTACAAATGGTGAGGTAATCTGCAGAAAGGCCAAGTAGAACTTCCGGATATGCAGAACTGGTTCAATATTCAAAAAGTAGTCGGTGTAAACTACCTTAGCAGTAGACTGAGAAATCAACTAATGGAGAAAAAGCATTTGACCGAATCCTATACCCAGTCATATAAAATGTCTCAATAGCAAACGGAACAGAGAGGAGCTTCCTCAAGACTTAGCAGAAATGGCCGAGTGAATTTTGACAAAGGCTCAAAAGCAACTCAGTGGAGGAGGGATAGCCTGTTCCACAAAAAGTGCTAGAGCAAACGAACTGTAAGGTAGAAAAACTCTCTCAAGAAAATATACACTCGGGGCCGCCGGGGTTGGTGAAGGATCTCAAGATGGCTGGGCGAAAACTTGCTCTAAAAACCATTGACTGGGGGATCCCTGGGTGGCGCAGCGGTTTAGCGCCTGCCTTTGGCCCAGGGCACGATCCTGGAGACCCGGGATCGAATCCCACATCGGGCTCCCGGTGCATGGAGCCTGCTTCTCCCTCTGCCTGTGTCTCTGCCTCTCTCTCTCTCATTCTATGTGACTATCATAAATAAATAAAAATTTAAAAAAATTAAAAAAAATAAAAAAATAAAAACCATTGACTGGGTAGCTTTTGGGGAGGTCATACCCCAAAACCAGAAGGCCATTGCCAACTCCCTGAAATCCTGGAATGAGATGCTTACCTCCAGGTTGGCTACTCTTCCTGAGAAACCACCTGCTATCGACTGGGCTTACTACAAGGCCAATGTGGCAAAGGCTGGCTTGGTAGATGACTTTGAGAAGAAGTTTAATGCCCTGAAGGTTCCTGTGCCAGAGGATAAATACACTGTCCAGGTGGATGCTGAGGAAAAAGAAGATGTGAAAAGCTGTGCTGAGTTTTTGTCCCTCTCAAAGGCCAGGATTGAAGAATATGAAAAAGAGCTGGAGAAGATGAAGAACATAATTCCATTTGATCAGATGACCATTGAGGACCTGAATGAAGTCTTCCCAGAAACTAAATTAGACAAGAAGAAGTATCCCTGTTGGCCTCACAAGCCAAGTGAAAATTTATAAACTTGAGTTGAGGAGAAAGCCCCGGCCCTCATATTATAAACATTGGACATTAAAAATAATGATACGGAAAAAAAAAGAAAATATACACTCATAACCAGGTGGGGTGTATCCCAGGTGTGCAAGGCTGGTTCTACATTCACAAATCAATTAATGCAATCCATCAGATCAATAGATGAAATAGATGCAAAAAATCATTCACCAAAATCCAACACCGATTCATGATAGAAACTCTCAGCAACCCGGAATGGAAGGGAACTTCCTCAGGATGCCTGGCTAACTCAGTCTGTAGAACATGTGACTCTTGATCTCCAGGTTGTGGGTTCCAGTCCCATGTGTGTTCCTGGGGGTGGCTCCCTCGGGGTGGGGATGCTCGCCCACTTGCGCAGAAGTATTTCAATGCTCCAGCAACTCCAATAGCTTATACAGACCCACACATCCAGACTGATGACCAACCTCAGGAAAAGGCAGATTTCATCATAGAAAGAGATGCTGGTGGATGCATGAATTGAAATCCTGTAGAAGGGCTGGCTTCTTATGAAACATAAAGCAAACCTCTCACAATGGAATTTGCTGGAATGCTTGTTTCCTGGAGTCTTCAGCAGGGCTTTCCTGTGTGTCACCCAACAGCACATGCTCCGGGCACACATTCTCCTGGGCCACCCCGCTGTTTTCTGTGTATTCTCTCTGCTATTTTTATCTCAAAGGACAAAGTTTTCACAAATGATATAAGACTTTTTCATCCTTCTCCAAGGACAAAGCTTCAGGAAGAGTCTTCTCAATGATCCTCAACCAAGTGTCAGTAAAAAGTCGTGAAGTGTCCTACACCAGAGTGCATGATTTCAAACATCATGGGGGACCACAGCAGTTGATTAGAAAGTTTCTGATGGGGATGCCTGGGTGAGCGTCTGCCTTTGGCTCAGGTCATGATCCTGGGGTCCGGGATCGAGTCTCGCATCAGACTCTCTGCATGGAGCCTGCTTCTCCCTCTGCCTCTGCCTCTGCCTCTCTCTCTCTCTCTCTCTCTCTCTCTCTCTCTCTGTGTGTCGTGTCTGTGTGTGTGTCTCATGACTAAATAAAATCTTTAAAAAAGAAAAAGAAAGTTCCCAATGTTTTCTCTTAAATATCTTGCTAAGTCACAAAGGCCTCATGGGGTCATTAGCCAGTGTCCCCAAAAGCCCAGTGTGCCCTGAGGGGATGTTTGTCTGCCTGGGGGACTGGGATATGAATCTGCATTTTCAGTGTTTCTGCCACCTTGTTTCCTGGCTTAGCCTCTGATCAGATTGTCATAAAGCTGACCAAGAGCTCATCTTGGGCCCCAAAGACTGTCCTTTCTGCAATTTTCTGTGGCTTTTCGCAGCATTTGGACCACCACCAACATGTGCAAAAGCTCAATCTGTGGGCCCACTTAACCAAGCCTGGGCACTGCAGTGTGTCCCAAGGAGCTGACGTGAGTGACTGGAGTGCGGTCCATCCCATGGGTGGCCTCAGGAGAGCCTGCTTACAGTAGGAGGTGTTTTGTTAAAGAATCCCCCACATACCACTTTTTGTTCTGGAAAGTGCATGAGCTCCAGGCCCCACAAATCCTGGCCCTGCCTTGCCACCCTGTGACTGAAGACACCCAGGGCAAAGAGGCCACCAGGGTCCGCCTGCATATTACATACCAGGGACACTTACCACCTTTCTTGTTTTTTTTTATTTTTGTATTTTTTTAAATTTTATTTATTTATTCATGAGAGACAGAGAGAGAGAGAGGCAGAGACAGAGGGAGAAGCAGGCTCCATGCAGGGAACCCGATGTGGGACTTGATCCTGGGACTCCAGGATCACGCCCTGGACCAAACGCAGGCACTAAACCACTGAGCAACCCAAGGATCTCCCCTTTCTTGTTTTTAGAAAAAACAAAACGTGAACAGAAGCTTTCTTCCTCCCCTGAATGGGCATCCTTGAGCTCCCTACTTTGGAGAACACTGACTCACACGCTTGAGTTTCAGCACTCCGTGCGCCAGGGCAGGTGAGGCTGCTCCGCAATCCCCTGCGCATGAAGTGCCACGGAGCGGTGATGTCCAGCAAGCCTTTCCACGAACCTGCCACATTTTTTTAAAGATTTTATTTATTTACTCATGAGAGACACACACACACAGAGAAAGAGAGAGGGGGGGGCAGAGACACAGGCAGAGGGAGAAGCAGGCTCCATGCAGGGAGCCCGACCTGGGACTCGATCCCAAGTCTCCAGGATCACGCCCTGGGCGGAAGGCGGGCGCTAAACTGCTCAGCCACCCAGGGAACCTGCCACATTTTGAGGACAACCAAAGGCATTCGAGTCTCCCACCCCGTAGGGCCCTGCGAGCAGCCGGGAGAGAAGAGCAAGTTGAGTCCAGATGTTAGAGCAAAGGCGGCCGCCGAGGCTGGAGGAACTCAGGGAAGGTGGGAAGCAGTGTGGGGACGAGGCAGGGGCTTCGGGAAGGTGGACCGTGCAATGACCATATTAGGAAGGCTCATCTGCCCCGATGTGGGAGGGGTGTGGGAGGAGGGGGACCAGGCGGGTGGCTCCAGCAGCTCCTCCGGTGGGGGCCTGAGTCAGGCCCAGCAGCTCCCATAAAGATGAGTGAAGACGAGCCCCACCCCCACCCCCACCCAGACCCTTCTTCAGAAAGCAGGCAGACACCCCCCACCCCCACCCCGGAATATAGAAATAATAAGCCCCAACCCTCATACTAACCATTGATTCTAACTAACCTGTGAATCCCTTCAACTTCTTTTCCATAAGGTACCTTTTCCCCCTCTAATGGGTACAGCTGATGTAAATATGACCAAGGGCCTGGGCCTTTCAAGTTGGTTTCCTTAATGAAGCCGGGCAGATAAATGGTGTGGAGGGCCCGGGCGGGCGGGGCGGCCGGCAATCCGCCGGGCTTCCTGTTGTTCCAGCATTAACATACCTGCTCCCCGGATCAAAGGGAGCCTCGCCTTCCCTGCGCGCTCTCCATGGGGGAGAAAAAAAGTCTAATATAATTAAAAATAAGCTGCAATTTGGTATGATCTGAAACTGACAGTTTGTTACCAAGGATTAAGGTTTATGCAGAGCAGCTGCCTGAGGACCCACCTCAAATAGCCCTGGAACTTGAACCTTTGCTGTAGAGAATTCACTCTCTTTGTGTCTGCTAGGATATTTTCTCTTTTTTTTTCATTTATTATTTTGTTTAAAGATTTTATTTATTTATTCATGAGAGACACAGAGAAAGAGACGCAGAGACACAGGCAGAAGGAGAAGCAGGCTCTCCTGCAAGGAGCCCTATGTGGGACTCGATCCCAGGACCCCGAGATCATGCCCTAAGCCAAAGGCAGACGCTCAACCGCTGAGCCATCCAGGCGTTCCCTGCTAGGTTCCCTTTCCCCTCCCTCCGCTATAGACATCATTTCCAAGGTGGACGCCACCGCATTTTCCTCCCACTGAATGCCGTCGGCCCAGAGCCAAAATATTTCATTTGATAACAGCAGGATCCCATTGGCTAAAATGATAGGAAAAAAGAAATAATATGTAAAAGTGCATTTTATGAATCAGACGATCCTGGGTGGCTTCATCACATTTATTCTCTCACTCACTTGTTCACTCCATAGGTTTACTAAATTGGGCCGGACCCTGTGGCCCCCAGGGTGGACCGATAGGAGGAGCAGTGGCAGGATTTCTGGCTCTGTGGAATCACCTGGAATCATCTGGAATTCACCAGGAGGGCAGATGTTAATCACACATCACCTGCAGCTGTGAGTGGGTGGGTGCCCCAGAGGATGGGGACCCCAGCCCTGAGAACCTAGTGTAGGAGGAGACAATGCCCCCTAGGAGTGAGGCCAGGCCAGCATGGGGAGGAGGCGGAGGGGCAGGAGGGGAAGTGCATGTGCTCCCTGTGAAGAGGTGCTCCGTCTGAGCACCGTGGGACCCTGAAGGCAGGGAGATGGGAGCTGAGGACGGAGCAGTGCGCAACACATCTGAGTTTCCATCTTGATCTTCAGAGCACAGGGAGACACTGAGACGTTGTGAAGAGGAGGCTGACATCCCTAGATGTGGGTTAGAATCACACTCTAATTAATAATCGATGTAAGGAGGATGAGGGTGGACACAGGGAGGCCTCCAGTCCAGGTGGCAGGGCCTGGTGGCCTGGCCCAGCATGGGGACCTGAGGGATGTTGCGAGTTGGGGATGTGGGAACACATCTGGGGGTACGTCAGATGATAAGGGAAGAAAGAGTGATAGAAGGGCACAATAGTCCCTTTACACGGCCACACTGAATCATCACAGCGACGTGCAATCTCAGGCACAGGATGAAAGTGGCAGAGATAGAAGTAACTTTCCCAGAGCCTCATGGCTGGGCAGACACTGGATCCCACAGGCCCGTCTGCTTCTGCCGGCTACACTCGCTTCCTACTGCCATGCTGCCCCTCGGCATGGGCACTCCCCTGGCATGGGCACCCCCGAATCTCCCTGAAGCCTCACTGAACCCACCGACCGACCAGGTGAGCCCATGATCCTCACCAAAATACAGGTCCCAGGTCAGGCTGAGCCAGTGGCAGGCCCCTCACTGGGTGGCCGTGTGGCTCAATTCACCACCAGGCTGTGTCTCCACTGAAGCCAAGTGGAGTCACAGTCAGGGTTTTATAATTTAGTGAACCTTCCACTTAATCTCACAAAACATGACTATTAAAGGGAGTTATTTCTGAGAAAACAAAACATGCTGACTGCTTGGGGGAAGACATGATAAAGGCAAGTCACCTGAGAAACTGCCAGCAAACTGGTGCAGGTGAGAGAAGCGTAGAGTTTGAATGGCTTCTGCATTTGGGTTGGCTGCCGGGTGCTGAAATCATCATGCGCCGGGAAGTCTAGGATGCGAACAATGCCTCTAGTTGTGCAGGACACAAGCAAAACCACACCAAGCCAATCAGCAGAACCAACCTCAAAGGAAAAGCACTGGCCTCACCAAAAAGCCATGGGATGAATGTACGATTATGTTTC